AGCTTCACTAAACACAAATATTAAGGAGGAACTTCTTCCTCACATAACATTTACACGCAGAGGGAAACTTTCTTATTCCCGATTCCATCATCGGTTATGGATCAGATCTGTCACACGCACACCGCCACGTCTTTGTGACCTGCTCACACACCTGGACCGTTCACAGTCTGTAGGCCTGAATGAGCAGCGCGGGTGTGTTTTCCTCTGTAGGACTGTGTGACCATCGAGGGGCCGGACACTGTGGTCCTCAAGCCTCCCAGGAGCTGCCAGTCAAACCGACAGAGCGACAAGTCCCTCCCACAAACGGCCCAGAGGTTCACCTTCACGCAGGTACGTGTCACCTGACCGGAGCTGTGCACACCCGTCCCACTTGCTTCACGCTGTTGTTGCCGCGGTGCCTTCAGGTGTGCCGTTTCTGTCGTGGTCGTATTTCAGGTGTTCGGTCCGGAGGCGAGTCAGAGGAAGGTGTTCGAGGGCTCCGTTCGGGGTTTGGTCCGAGACGTCCTGCAGGGAGGAAACTGTCTGGTTTTCACGTACGGAGTCACCAACGCCGGGAAGACCTTCACCTTCCTCGGTCAGAGCGCCGCCCCCTCCTGTCTGCCATCACCCGCCTCTCTGCCCGACTCTGACTAACTGTCCGTCTGTCGCTCAGGTCCGGACCACGACTCGGGTCTGCTGCCCAGGTCCCTGTCGGTCATCTTCAACAGCATCGACGGCCGCCTGTACGGCCGCTGCGACCTGAAGCCTCAGCGCTGCCGAGACTTCAGCAGACTGACTCCAGACCAGCAGGCGGCCGAGAGCAGCAGCAAGAGGAACCTGCTGAGGATGCTAAAGGAGGTGAGGCGGGCGACGGGGAGCGTCGCAGCACGGTGTGAGCGCGTGCGGCGAGCTGAGCTGTCTCTGCTTCCTCTCCACAGAGCGACAGAAGCGCGACAGCTGGAAGGTCGGCGTTCCTCGAAGGTCAGTGATTTAATCAGGATGGGACTAAAAGCTGGAGAAACGCCGAGCTTATGATCTTTGAAGGTGGTGTTAGGCGTGATAACGGATCTGTGAAGATAAACTGCAGGAGTGTGTGTTATTAATGTCACCTCACACTGATTTACTCTGATGAAACAAACAGTCCAACAACAGATGGACTCGTCTGCAGATCCTGGCTGAGAGGTTGATGTTTGAAGCTTTGTGAATTATTAAAGAAAAGAAAACAAACGGACGTCTGATTAACTGTAAACTTTAAAACAAGCTGTGTGTGTGTGTGTGTGTGTGTGCGTGTGTGTGTGTGTGTGTGTGTGTGTGTGTGTGTGTAGGCTCGTCTCTGAGCAGTGACAGCAGTGTGAACAGCGTCTCAGAGGCCGACAGCTTCTGTTTGGACGTCGACTCAAACGTCCGTTTCTCCGTCTGGGTTTCCTTCTGTGAGATTTACAACGAGAACATCCACGACCTGCTCGAACAGGTGACACACACACACACACACACACACACAGAGTGGGGGTGTGTGATCCCAGTACACGAACACATTCATGTTTTGTTTGCACATTTTCATCCTGAGCCTCTTTAAG